CGCGCCCCCCCACCCAACGACCCTGCACCACGTCCCCCCAGAACAGCCCTCCTCGCCATGCCCTCCTGCCTTCACACTTGAACGCCCGCTCTCCTCACGTCTGTCCTGTGGCGTGTGTCACCGCGCTGTACTTGAGGACCAGAGGATACACGTCCACTACGACACACCAGCTGAAGTGCCCTGCAACACCTTCTCACGTCACTTGTACCAATTCACACGTGTTCTGTGAAACAGGCAGCCCGCAAACGTGTGTGTTTACTCCATAGTAAGTGGAGTAAACGGGCTTGTAGACTCAAATAATCGCTGGCTTTAGCTGGATTCGGCTTCAGCCCGCACTTTGCTCATTGATTTTGAGAGCTCACCGTGTGAGGCTGACCAGCTGCCGCTTTCCTCCCGCCAGGGCGGTACCGGAGGGCCGGGGCGTGTATTAGGTACCGCATCTCAGTCCCTGGCACACAGGGTGCTCGCTGCCCGTGATCCGCTGGGGATTGAAATCATGTAGGAATGAAGTGGGGTGTCTTAGTGAGATGTATACTTTAATTTTTAAGAATGACGACATGAACACTGAAGAAGCCCTAGAAGGCACGAACTTAGAATGAGGTGCGTACATGGAACAGCACCCTGAGATGCTGGTTTCAGCAGAGCTCAGGCCAAGCGGGGTGCGCCCGGCTTCGTGCTCCGGGTGTGCACGAGCACTCCCCTGAAGGGAGCCTCGGAAAGCAGACTTTGGACTCTGGCCTTTGGGAGTTCTTAAATTTCTTCCCGCGGAATTAACTGTCTGCATCCCAGGAAGGGGTGATCTCTGTTTGCTGGGCTGACCTTGACCCCAGAAGTCAGTGTGAACCTAGACTCCTTTCTGGTAGGTGCATTGAAGTGGCACATTCCTCTCTTCTTAAATGTTTATTTGTTTTGAGAGAGAGATTGAGAGAGATTGAGATTCCCGAGCAGGTTCCAAGCTCAGTAAAGAGCCCAACATGGGGCTCAAACCCACAAACCAAGAGATAATGGCCTGAGCCAAAGTCAAGAGTGGGACACTTAATACCTGAGCCGCCCAGGTACCCTGTGAAATGTCCTTTCTTAAAACATTTCTGGTTATGACTTTTGTCTTAGAGATTATTGCATATGATTATTTACAGTGTCATCACTGTTTTTTGAGGTATAGTCAGTAAACATTAGCTGCAGGTGTACAAAGTAATGACTCGGTATTTGTGTAGCGAAATGACTGCAATGAGTGTGGTTAACTTTTGCCACCATCTGTAGTTAGAAGTTCTCATCATAAGAAAAAACTTTCTTAGGATTTACTCTTATCACCTTTCAAGAATGCAATATGGTATTTTTAACTATAGGCACCCTGCTGTGCCTCACGCTCCCCCGACTGTGTAACTGGGCGTTTGTACCTTTGACCCTCTTCCTGCATTTTGCTCCCCTCTATCCCCAACCCCACCCCTCCTCTTGGAACCACCAATGTTTCATGTCTGTGAGCTTGTTTTAATTTCACATATAAGTGAAATCATACAGTGTTTGTCTTTCTCTCACTTACTTCACATGGCATACTCCCGTACGGTCACAGATGGCAAGATGTTTTTTAATTGCCAAAGAGTATTCTGTATATATACACATCTTATTTTTCTTTTCACTTATCAGTGGACACTTAAGTTGCCCCCTTATCTTGGCTATTGTAGTTAATGCCACAATAAATATGGCAGCATATATGGTTTCACATTAGCGTTTTTGTTATCTTAGGATAGGTAACGAGAAAATGGAATTTCTGGATCATGCTTTTTTTTCTTAATTTTTTTAGGTTTTACTTTTGAGAGATGGGGTAGAGAGGGTCTGAGGCAGGCTCTGCACTGTCAGCAGAGAACCTGATGTGCGGCTTGAACTCATGAACTGTGAGATCATGACCTGAGCCAAAGTCAGAGGCTCAACTGACTGAGCCACCCAGGTGCCCTGGTATTTTTAATATTTTGAGGAACCTCCATATTGTTTTCCAGAGTGACTACACCAGTTTGCATTCCCACCAACAGTATGTTCTCCATATCCTTGCTAACACTTGTTGTTTCTTATGTTGTTAATTTTAGCCTGACAGGTGTGAGTTTTGATTTGTATTTCCCTGATGATGAGCAATGATGAGCATTTTTTTCCATATCTGTTGGTCATCTTTATGTCTATGGAAAAATGTCTCCTTAGATCCTCTATTTTTTTAAATAGGATTGTTTTACTGTTTAGTTGAATGTCTTCTTTATGTATTTTGAATATTAACTCCTTGTCTAATGATTTGCAAATATCTTCTTATTCCAGAGGTTGCCATTTTGTTTTGCTGATGGTTTCCTTTGCTGTGCTTTTTAGTTTGTTGCCATCTCATTTGTGGTTTTTTTGCTTTTTTGTTGCCTTTGCTTTTTGGTGTCAAATCAAAAAAACACAAAAGTTGTGACTGATGTCAGAGAGTGCACTGCCTATGTTTTCTGCTAGGACTTTTGTGGCTTAAGTCTTAAAATTTAGGTCCTTAATCAGGGGTGCCTGGGTGGCTCAGTCAGTTAAGCATCCGACTTCAGCTCAGGTCATGATTTCACAGTTTGTGGGTTCGAGCCCCACGTCAGTCTCTGTGCTAACAGCTAGCTCAGATCCTGGAGCCTGTCTTTGGATTCGGTGTCTCCTCCTCTCTCTGACCCTCCCCTGCTCATGCTGTCTCTCTCTCTCTCTCAAAAATAAATAAAAACATTAAACAAAAAGTCCTTAATCCATTTCAGTTAATTTTTGTGTGTGGTATAAGATAATGGCTTTGCTCGCCAGCCATCATTTGTGGAAGACACTGTTTTCCCCATTGTATATTCTTGGATTGTTTGTTAGAAATAAACCCAAGCACCTGTAGTCAGTTAATTTCTGGTCCTTCTGTGCTATTGATCTATATGTCTGTTTTTATGCCAATATATACTGCCTAGATTAGTACAGACTTGGAATATAGTTTAAAAATGATGTCTCCAGCTTTTTTTTTTTTTTTTTGGTCAAGATTACTTTGGGTATTTGAGGTCTTTTGTTCCATACAAATTTCAGGATTTCCTACTTGTGTGAAACATGCCATTGGAATTTTGATTGGGATTGCATTGAGTTACGGATAGCTTTCGATAGAATGGATTTTTTAGCAATATTAATTCTTCCAGTGTGCAGAGCCTGGGGGCTGCGTGGTGCGGGCCAGATGTGTGGGAAACACACACCTTTGCTGTCCGTGTGAACAGTCTACACCCAGCTCAGCCTTCTAACCTTCACCGGCAGGACGGACAGCCCCCTCATCAGGCCAGAGCTCCTCAGTCTGTGTCCCCACAAATCCAGGGGCTGCTCCCCTGAAGTCTCCCCAGCGTGGTGTGAAGCCAGGATGGCATTCTCCTCTGTTCCTTCCTGAGCAGAGGGGTGAGTGGACGGACACACAGCCACCACATGCCCGAGAACAGCCATTTGTGCTCTGACCGCATCTTGTTTCAGTACTTTGAGATGCAGGTGACACATAGTAGTCATGGCTGTGCAGCACGAGTCAACATTTGTGTGGTTTGCAAAACGACCCCCCCACGCAGGGAGTCCCAGCTTGGGCACCCAGCAGTCCTGTGTTTGTCCCTTGTGACGACCTCTAACGTTTGCCCTCGGCGACTTGGGAATGCATAAGTGCGCTCGCAGTGTGGCGTCTCACGTCCCAGGACTTCCTCTGGGCCTGGAGACATGTGCCTCGCAAGCCCGTCCCACCCCACGTGCCGCCCACACCCGCACAGCTTCTGTCGCAGGGGGCTGGGGACCGGAGGACCTGCACTCGTGCAGGCCAGGGCGCCGCAACGGGAGCTCCTCGCTCGCTTCCTGGGACCACAGTGCCACTTGCGGGCATCAGAGCAGTGACAAAACCTCCCCGCCTGTCGTGTCCATTTGCAGAAATGTTTGGCTGCTCCTGGTTGGATTTTCTTACTTGGGTAAACTTGAGCCGCTGCGCCTGTCTCTGATCCTGTGACTTGGCACCACGTCCCGGAGGTATTGGGCGGGGGCGGGGCAGGCGGTGTGTGGCCCTGTGCCTAGACTCTGCACAGATGGTGCTGTTCGAAGACAGGAAGTAAACGCTGGCGCGTCCACACTCGGCGGCGCCAGGAGAGCGCGTGCGCACAGGTTAAAACAAGAGCGTTTCAGTCCCAAAGCGTGTTCTGTGCGCAGAGCATTCAGCGTAGCGCGAGTTCTCACACGTGCGTCCCCTGCGGGCATCGCTGAGTTAGCGGTCTCCATAGCTCACAAGTAATCCTTTGGCCTTTTCAAAAAACTGGGTAACGCGTGGAGGCGGCACAGGGCCGGGACCTGCACTCGGGAGAGGTACTCGCAAGCAGACTGACGAGCCTTCGGTGGTTGGAAGTCTTTGGAGAAGTCCAGCAATCTGGAGGCGAGGGTGCCCCCGTCCAGTGCGGTCCCCTCTGGCAGTGACAGAGCGGGACACCCTGGGCCCCGAGCCGCCCTCCCCGGGGAGGAGTGTGCACGTCCAGGGGGAGAGGCGGAGACAATGGCCCCGCGGCACAGCAGCACCGGTGAGCCCGAGGTCAGCATGTCCGTGCAAAGGGGCAGAGAGAAGGGAACGTCTCTGTCCCTGGCAGCGGGTACGTGGGTGACGAGGACCTAGCTGGGCCCCGTGCTCTGTGTACACGTGCCCGCAGGGGAGATGAGAGGAATTTCAGTGCAGGTGCTGCGGCAGTAGTGACCCGATCTGTGCCTGCTCCTCCTCGTGAAGGCCTCCACCTCAGGGGGTATCGGGGGCCCGCGGGAGGCAGGGGTGGCTGGAGCCTCCAGCCATGGGGGTGTCCTCACCCCAGACAGGCTCGCAGCCCGGCCCCACAGTGAGGGGGTGCGCCCTCCTGTGTGCATGTGCCTGTGAGGCTGTCCCTGTCCTCTAAACTCCCTTCGCGGAGATGCGCGCTCAGCAGGCCGTGTCGCCAAGGAGCCTCATAGAGACGTGACGTGTTGATGTCTCTTTCTTGCAGGGAACGCCACCGCGGTGACCTCCAGCCACATGGGTGCGTCCCCAAACACAAACCCCAACATGTCCACCCCTTCCCAAGTCCCCAGGACAGACGCCGTCAGCACCTCGATGCCCAAAACAGCATCCAGAGTGACAACCCGGGAGGCATCCACGAATACGACCTTCACCACCCACGTGTCCCACAGCGTGTCCCATGTGCCGTCGACGATGAGCACCGCCCACAACCATTCGGCCACCTCGGTGTCTTCACCAGTGACAAGTACGCACAAGAGCTGACCAGTTTCTGTGCTCAGAGCAGGTGTCAGACGCCCTGTGCGAGATGCGGACAGCCTGTCGTTTATACAGAAATTAGTGGGGCAGGTGCTACTCCCCTCGTCCCTGTAGGAAGCGGGTTTCCAGCTTAGGCCTCGTGACTGGAGGAGGGACGTGTCCTGGGATCGTACTTCGCGTGGTCGGAGCACGTGTCCTGACTGCACACTGGGCAGAGCCTCCACACCCACAGCGCGGTCACTCTGGCCGTGGCCCCTGGGTGCGCCAGGTGCAGCCAACGTGTGGTGTCCGCCAGCGCACCTCAGTTCCTGCACTTGTTTAAGATAGAATGTGAAACCATGAATTCAGAACCTTGGCATTTTCCCTTCAAGGTTTTCCAAGTTCAGGTCCGCGCGGAGGCCAGCACAGACCACAGGCTTCGTGGGGTGGTCTGCGTACTTCCGTGTGTGCTACCCTGAAGTCTTATTCCCGCAGCTGTGGTCACCAGGGCTCCTGATGTGATAAAACCAGTCTGTTGAAAGGAGAACTTCCGGTTAGAAGCCCTCGTGCAGATGGGCCCAGACCCCCTGGTTAAGACACAAGCTCTTATGAGGACGAATAAGGAAACAGTCCCCAAACGGTGCAGTCCAGGGCCGGGGAGGGGGTGGAGGTCGGGGTCCCCCAGCACAAACACCCTCAGGTGTTAGCTTGCAGCCTGGGGTGGGGAGGGCTCCATCCGCTCAAGGGACCCAAGGCCCAGGGCCAGCGGACAGGAGGCTGGCGGGGAGCACCTCCCCCACTCTGCTTTCTTGGATAGGAATTCGAGTGGCAGCTTATTGTAATGTTTTTGACAACCACTAAAGCGTGCCTTTTTGTTTTTTCCTAGTGACAGCAACTATCAATTCTAAAGAAAACCCAGGATCAAAATTTGACGTTGGCAGCTTTCTCGGTGGCATCGTATTAACGCTGGGAATTCTGTCAATCCTGTACTTTGGATGCAAAACATACTATTCACGAAGAGGCATTCGGTACAGAACCATGTGAGTTTGGATTTCCTTCACCCTCACGACACAACACTGGAAGGGGGCTGTCCACACTAACCTCTGTGCCCGGAGCGCGCTGTTGACGTACAGGCTGGTGATTGTTAGTGCAAACAAAAACGGATGCGCGTGCTATGCCAGCGTCCTGTTTCCCGGCGCCCCCCTGTCCCCGCACCTGTAACCGTCTCCAGAGGGGATGTCTGGCGCTCGTCGGTAGCGCTACGGCAACATCCTTGGTGGAAACGTGGTTTTAAAGAAATCCTGATGGTCTCATTTTTAAGTTCTTGCATCCAGTGACTTAACAGACCTTGTCATGTTCACGGTTTCCAGGACTGTGTGGGTCTTATGTTGTCCGGAAGGGTCATGGCTTTTACTAGAGTACAAGAGCCAGTTGATTTTTAATGTATCATAAATACCACAGAAGGACAACTTTTTCCAAAAATTCTTTAAGTCACACACACTGGGAACTGATTTAACAAAGTAAAACAGGACAGGTTACAGTATGAAAATATTTCTCATAGAACTAAAAAAAACAAAACTGGCTTTAGCAAACTCGCTTTCAGATTATCAAGGTGTTTTTTGCCAGATTAAAAGCATATTCAGAAACATTCTTTAGATCAACTCCTAGAGGAAGAACTACCTGAAGGAAACAGAGTTAACCTCAAAGCAGTTTTTGATAACCACTCTATGTTTCTAGAAACTTTTTTATGTTTTATTTATTTGTAGGAGAGAGAGAGACAGCGTGAGCAGGGGAGGGTCAGAGAGAGAGGGAGTCACAGAATGTGAAGCAGCTCCAGGCTCCGAGCCGGCAGTCAGCACAGAGCCCGACGCGGGGCTCGAACCCACGAACCACGAGATCATGACCTAAGCGAAAGTCGGACGCTTAACCGACTAAGCCACCCAGGCGCCCCTGTTTCTAGAAATTTTTATCATATGTTCTTGGTAAATTTTGCCAGTTTAAATGCCACTCATTTAATAGTATCAGTGTTTACTGATGTAAATGAGGCTGTAAAGCAATTAAAGGTGCTGTTTCTGTTTTAAACTGCCTAAACCACACAGCGTGTCAGCTTCACAGTTTGCTTCGTCAATCTTCACAAAACCCCGCAGGTTAGAATCAGATGTTTGTTTCCCATTCCTCCCCGTTCTTATTTGAATGGCTGCTCACGCTTACTCCCCCCTCCCCCCGCTCTGCAAGGTAGAGGTTTCTTGCCGGGGACGGTTGGTTGCCGGCAGGCCCTGGGCTTCCCGGGAGCCCACTTGCGAGCCCACCTGCGGGCAGCTGCTCTCCGGGAACTATGTTAACAGAGGGCAAATAGAATTTTTAGAAAGCACAACAGGAAAATCCATCTTAGTCAAACCCTCGTCGTGGGTGCAAATTTCCCTAGGACCAAGTTTTTTTTTTTTTTTTAAATGTTTATTTTTCAGAAAGAGAGAAAGACCGCATGAGCAGGGGAGGGGCAGAGAGACAAGGAGACATAATATGAAGACAGGCTCCAGGGTCTGAACTAGCTGTCAGCACAGAGCCCCATGCGGGGCTCACACCCACAAACTGTGAGATCATGACCTGAGCTGAAGTTGGGTGCTCAACCGAGCCTCCCAGGCGCCGGCCCGGGGAGAGCTCAGAGCCACTGCTGGGAGAGGCTGTGCCTGGACTCTGGTGATAGAGCCCCAGAAAAAGTACCTCATGGACTTGAGCATCTCTGAAGTCAGGGTACAGCTTACAGTCCACGGGACGACAGCGTGCATTTTTCTTAGTGCTACGTGACAGTGCGCATAGAAGTCAGGAGCGGCTCTGAGGCGGTGAGGTTCTTACAGAATGCCGGATGAGGCGTTCCCCAGGCCGTGAGCTGCTGGGACAGAAGCGTGTGGAGGTGGAGTTTGGCGCAGGAAGAGCATTCTGGGCCCTTCCCCCATGCTTGTGTGGCTTCAGGTCCTCTGCAGAATGGGATTGTGAATAAAGAAAGTCAGTACATACTTAGGGTTTCTGTGGGGATGAAGTGAGATACGTAAACACCCCACTCAGGGATGTTCAAGGAATGAGGGTGCTTAGTTTTTCTAGATCTCTAGAGCTAACCAGTGAGAAGCTACACAGCCACAAGGGGCGGAGCAGACGTCTGAGGGGCCGTCAGCACCCTTCACATGGTACACCCGACGCTTTAACAAATCTTACGTAAATGACAATTTTGATGCTGCATCTTGAAGTTGTTTAAAACTAGGAACCAAACGGCTTTGACACAATACAAAACAAAGTGATTGTAACTTTTGATTACAGTGATGAGCACGATGCCATCATTTAAGGAACGCCAAGGACCAACAGAACATGAGGACAGCCCTACGGATGAATCTGGACGATTCTTGGAAAGAGTATACACACATCCTGCGTGTAACATACAATGTACTATATAAACATGTAAACAGTCCTCAGGATTACTAAAGGTAAAGAGACTTCGGGTTGGGTTTTTAAATGAGCATTTGCAGCATACCGTTAATGCAATTTGAACACAAACAGTGCTGTTCTTGCTTCTGGGGCCTGGGTCACACTGGGGGAGTAACTCACGTGCCACTGGAGCGTGCAGACCGGGACACAGACCTTCACTGCTCCCCAGAGCCGGTGCTACCCTGAGCACTAAAGCCACACAGCAGAAATTACATGTCAGCCAGGTCTCCCGCAGAATTGTAAAGCTCTGTGCTTGGGTTCAGAACGAGACACGTGGTCCCCACCCCCAGAGTCTGTGTCCTCCTTCCAGTGCCAGTCAGTCAGTCTTTCTCCTCTGTGTCATTGCAGCAAATTGTAACAGTGTAGTCAAGGTGTAGTCGGGTTATGTGCCACTGTGAGAGTATTGCCACTATTAGAAATGGCTTTGTTTCATAAGCGCCAGTTACTTGTAGGTTTAGTGGATCTTTTTAAGGGATGGAGAGCTTCCTTCAGTATCTAGGATGGTTTAATGTCAACATGCTAAGGTAAGCCCCCTAAGAAGTGGGACTTCTCTAGACTTCTAGAAGGCTGTGTTGATCAGGGATGGGAGGGTACTCCACTCAGGCTACTAACCTACAGGAAGAAAATGCTGTATTTTTGTGTACTGTTGATTTTACTCCAATTTGGGGAAATAGCATTTTTATACTAAAAAACCTTTTATTTGATTAAATTCTTAGGAAGTTAATACAAGAAATTTTTACTATTCTTCAGGCCTCTCCTGTAGAGGGGCACTTTGGGGCTGTATTTTGCTAATAGAAAAAGCACAGTATTGTTGGAACACCAGTATTAGTCAACATATTTTGGGGTGTTCGATTTTATAGTTTATATTACAGCAGTCAAAACTCAGGGTCAGGTTTTGACAAAGAAAGGCATTTAGTCATACGTATGGCTACCCAAAGTTAAGTACAACCAGTTTCTGCCAATCCAGAAATAAGGTGTCCTAATGATCTTGTGTCTACACTGAAGAAGATGTGACTTTTGTGACCAGCTTTTGGCTTTCAGAGGTCAAGAATTTTGATACAGAAAAATCCCTCCTAGTCACTGTGCATTGCGGCCCGCCGAGGTGATGAGCGTGGGTAGTGGGGTGGGGCACATGCAGTGCAAGACAGACGGGGGCTGAGTTAGTAACACGCAACGAGCCTACCTGGTCTTGAAACGACTTTCAGTGAAACTGTACAGCGATGGGGGCCTTTTAAATCTTCCTGCTTCCTCCAGAGTTCAGTACTTGAGGTCAGAACCTTTTATTCCTGAATACTTGTTTCTATAGCACTTTGAAGATGTAAAACCACTTTTTAAGTACTAAACGTCATTATATGCCTTTAAAGGTTGAAATAATGTGTACAATGTCTTCTCTCTGATACTTTCAAATACCAGTATTATTTGGATGCAGCAGGTTTTTTGGTTATCTGCAAAAAAAAAAAAAGGGGGGGGGGGAAGGTGACATGAACCACTATTTCCCTAAGCATAAATTCATATCCTAATCGTGTTTACTTCGGTGACTATTTGATCTTGTTTTCATTCTCGGATACAGTTTCCAAACAGATGAGAGTTGGCAGTGTATTACAATGACAATTTTGTATTTTTGAGGAGGAAAATTTAAAGCAAATTCTTTTTACTTTGTTCTTATTATAATGGCAAGCTTTTAGTATTTCATTGTTACTAAGGTCTATTTTTAGAATAAAACTTTGTTCTCCATCTAAGAGGTTTCTGTGTGCGGTTTTGTTTCATTTCCACAAACTTGAGAGAAATGAAAAGCCCCAAATAAAGACACTATTTAAGTGTGGTTGGCTGAGAACCATGTTACAAGTGCACGATCTTACCCAAGCCCGAGACCTCCTGAGTCTGTGTCTGAACGCTGCCACCCAGGGTTCTGAGGCTCCCCAACCTCGGACAACCGCTGCTCTGGACTCTTCCGTGCCCCTGCTTCACGCTGGTAGGTAGAATTAGAACAGTAGGTGAATTCGTGATATAAATTAAGAAATGACCGTGCCCAGTACCCATCAGCTACAAATGCCTTACTGTACAGCCCAGCAACAGGCTGAAGGGCCTCCCATGCACCTACAATCCCCCAGTGTGGTGTCGACCACCGGGAACCTGTCCCCGAAGAGGGGAGAGCTTCGGACGCTGGGTGGCTCAGCGAGTTGAGCATCCAACTCTTTCAGTTCTGCTTATGATCTCATGGTTCGTGTGACTAAGCCCCGTGGGGGGGCTCTTGGTGCGGAGCCTGCTTGAGATTCTCTCTCAAAAATAAGCATTAAAGAAAACAAGAGGGGAGGTCTTGAGACAGGCAGCACTTGGGTCTGGAGAGAGCGGATGATCCTACCTGCAACGCCCGGGTCCCAACCAGAGCCCCTGCTCCTGTGCGGAAGTAGGAGCCCAGTGCAGGTCGGCTGCACTCGGAGCTGTCCCTGCCAAGGAGATGAGCTCTGAAGGCAAGAAAAACAAAAGAAACCTACATCCTACCAACACTGACTTGCTAATCAAAAATCTCCCCCCATGACGAAAAACCGGGACCAGATGGCTTCACTGGTAAATTTTACCGAAGAATTAATACTAATCCTTCCCAAACTCTCCCAAAAAACAGAAGAGGGAACACTCAGAAATTCATTTTTTTAAAGTAATCTCCATGCCGAAAGCAGGGCTTGAACTCACAACCCCAAGATCAAGAATCACATGTTCCACCAGGTGTCCCCCAAACGCATTTTAAAAAGCCAGTATCACCCTAATGAATACAAATGGAAAAATCTTTAGCAAACAGAATTCAACCCATTTAAAGGATCACTTGCCGGGACATCCGGGATGTGTCCCTGGGATGCGAGGCTGGTCTGACACATGACCAACATGCTGCACCACACTAATGGATTACGACCACACAGGTGGGGGTTTTTTTACACATAGGAAAGTATATGACAAAATTCAACATCTGTTCATGATGAAACCTTAAATTAGATCTGGAAGGCATGTCCTTCCACATAATAAAGTCCACAGCTATCATCAGGATCAGAAGGAAGATGGGGTGGGGCAGCTGGGGGGGGCTCAGTTGGTTAAGCATCTGACTTCCGCTCAGGTCATGATCTTTCGGGTCATGAGCTAAAGCCCCACATCGGGCTCTGTGCTGACAGCTCGGAACCTGAAGCCTGCTTCATATTCTGTGACTCCTCTCATTCTGCCCTACCCCTGCTCACAATCTCTCTCTCTCAAAAATAAACAAAAAAAAAAAAAAAAAAAGGCAGGCAGGGTCACCTGTAGTGCACACAGCATGAGCAGTCCTAGCCAGAGCAGTTAAAAAGAAGGAAGAGGCATCAGAATTGGAACAGAGTAAGTAGAATAGTCTATTTGCACACGTTTTCATAAATACAATTCTAAAGATCCAACAAAACCTGTTGTAGCTAATGGACATTGTAAAGTTGCGGGACATAAAACCAATGCTCACCAAAGCAGCAGTATTTCTGTACACTGACAACAAAGTATCTGAAAAATACAGATGATCCCATACTTACAACAAACAGCACCAAAAACAAAGTGCTTAAAATTAAAGCACTAAAAGATCTCTACAGTGACGACGACAAGCTACTGCTGAAAGACACTGAAGAGTCAAAACAAACTGGCAGAATTACTGCTGGGGCAAAACCCATCATCTGTAGTCCTCTTAACCCGGTGCTCGCCCTGCCTGTCCAAGCTGGTTTCCCAGTATTCATTCACCTTCTTGTTTCAAAAATGCCTCACGCATTTTTTGTCTCTTCATATTTCTCCCTCTGCCTAGAATAACCTGTTCTCCAACTCCGCATACTCTAATCCTATTTAATCCTTGGTTCCCAACCGTAGACACAGAAATCAATGGAATAGAATACAGAATACAAAACCCAGAAATGGACCCACATCTATACGGCCAGCTCATCTTTGACAAAGCAGGAAAGAATATCCAATGGAAGAAAGTCTCTTCAACAAATAATGTGGGAAAACTAGACAGTGACATGCAGGAGAATGAAACTACCGTTTTTTTCTCTTTTTATGTTTATTTTTGAGAGAAAGAAGGTGAGTAGGGGGAGGGGCAGAAAGAATATGAAGCAGGCTCCAGGCTGTCAGCACAGAGCCCGATGTGGAGCTGGAACCCATGAGCCGTGAGATCATTACCTTAACTGAAGTCAGACACTTAACTAAGCCACCCAGGTGTCCCCTGTACCACTTACTTACACAAAAACAAATTCAAAATGGATCATAGGCCTAACTGTGAGACAAGAAACCACCAAAATCCTAGAGAAGAAAACAGGCAGTAACCTCTTTGACATCAGCTGAAGCAACTTCTTACTGGATACATCTTCAAAGGTAGGGAAACAAAAGCAAAAATTAACTATTGGGACTTCATCAAGATAAAGACCTTCTGGCCAATGAAGGAAACAATCAACAAAACTAAAAGACAACCAACTAAATGGGAGAAGATATTTGCAAACAACATACCCAATTAAAGGGATAGTACCCAAAATCTATAAAGAACTTACCAAATTCAACACCCAAAAAGTGAAAAATCCAAATAAAAATGGGCAGAAGACACGAATAGACATTTTTCCAAAGATATCCAGATGGCCAAAAGAGGTCACCGTCTCAAAAAAAATTTTCCAGGGGCGCCTGGGTGGCTTAGTCAGTTAAGTGTCCAACTTTGGCTCAGGTCATGATCTCACGGTTCATGGGTTAGAGCCCCGTGCTTAGGGCTCTGTGCTGACAGCTCAGAGCCTGGAGCCTGTCTTTGGATTCTGTGTCTCCCTCTCTCTCTGACCCTCCCCTGCTCACGCCGTCTCTCTCTCAAAAATAAATAAAACATTAAAAAACGTCCTATATGCTTTTTTTTAAAGTTTATTTTGAGGGAGAGAATCCCAAGCAAGCTCCATGCTGTCAGTATAGAGCCCACCATGTGGGGCTCAAACCTATGAACCGTGAGATTATGACCTGAGCTGAAATCCAGAATCGGATGCTCAACCAACTGAACCTCCCAGGTGCCCCTCAATACACTTACTTTAACAATCTGCATGGGTGGTTCAGTCTGAACAATCTGGGTGGTTGGGTCTGTTAAGCATCGGATATCAGCTCAGGTCATAATCTCATGGTTCGGGGGTCCAAAAAGGCTCTGTGCTGACAGCTCAGAGGGTGGAGCCTGCTTCGAATTCTGTCTACCTGTCTCTCTGCCCTCCCCGCTCACACTCTCTCTCCTAAAAATAAAACATTAAAAATTTTTTTAACACAAAAAATTTTAAAATCTGCATAGGGTCGTCTGGTGTCTCAGTTGCTTAAGCATCCGACTTTGGCTCAGGTCGGGATCTCACAGTTCGGGAGCCTGAGGCCCGCATCAGGCTCTGTGCTGACCGCTCAGCCTGGAGCTGCTTCGGAGTCTCGGTGACCTCTCTGCCCCTACCATGCTCGCTCTCAAAAATAAACATAAAAAAAAAAAAAATTCACACATAGTGGCCCCGCACAGTTTGGAACGCATGCTGTTCAAGGCTCATTCTCCACTCGCAGACTGCCACTCAGGTTTCCAGCAATCTACACTTCACTGAGCCTAAATTTGCACCTCCTAGGGTTTTAAGGATTAAATAAGGCCATTAACAAAGCATCTGACATTTGCCTCTTGGTTCACGTACGCCTGCTGGGAGAGCAAAAGGAGGCCAAAACCTTTCTCTCTGATCTAGGCAGACAGGACTCAGCAGGTAGATAAAATGTGAATCATATTACCATTTCCTTATATTTCATGCAATATTTTTACCCAATGCAAGGAACAGACATTCTTACACATAACTGACTAGCTGAACAAAGCCAAAGTAGATAAACTTTCAAATACACAGAATTCAAATTTAAACACTTTGGTTCTTATGGTGGATCACAGCCTGTGCAATTTTTTAAAATATTAATGCAACTTAAATAATTTGTCCAAAAAGCACCAGCTAAGCAGTCAGGTCCAGATTTTCCTTTATGGCTGCTGAAAGGATTCGGGCTACTGTGCTTCAAGTATCTTGCACATTTCATGGTCTGCTAGGGCCACTGTAACAAAGAAACAGACTGAGTGACTTCAACAGACTTTTTCTCACCAATTCTGGTGCTAGAAGTCTTGAGTCAAGAGGCCGGAAGATAGTTTCTTCAGAGGCTTCTCACCACACTTGCTGATTGCTGTCTTCCTCTGGTATCCCTGCGTGTGTCTGCATCCAAACCTCTAATAAGGACACCAATCCTCATACGCTTAGGCTCCCCGGGCCTCACTTTCCCTTCGCTACCTCTTTAACGGCCCATCTGGAAAACAGTTCCATTCCCAGGTACTATGGAGATGAGGACTTCAGTGTTGGAACTTGGAGAGAGTAACTGCACCCATGACCCCATCTTAATTAAAGAATCCAGCAGTGGGCCTGGCACACGGTAGCTCCTCAATGTATTTAGTAGCGACCAAGCAAAAAGAAACAGAAGAGGTTCTAAAATGATTTAATATATTCTTTAAATGCCTTCTGGAAGGGCAGGGATCAACCTGCACGCAGACTTACCAAGTCCGTCGGCCCCTCCTGCTGGAAATAAAGGGGAGAAGAGAATGAAGGGCGAGAAATCCTCACTCGTGCCGGTGCATTCTCCGAAGGGTCCGAAGGACTACAGGGTAAGAAGACACGTGGAGTGTGTATAATGTGTCTGAGCTTTCCCTGCGGTCTCAGCAGTCCGCCACTAACCTGATCTGGCAAAGGAGACCCCCCCCACCCCCCCACTGCCTGCCTTCCACCTCCTCGGCCCACCACCACCTATGCAGCAAAGCCATCACACTCGTATTTTTAAATCCCAATGCAGATTTAACTGATTTTCATTTTTAATATATCTACAATATAAATGCAACTAGATATTGTCATCTAAAAGAATTTCATAGATCACATTACTATTAAAAAACTTCTTGGTAATCAGTTTCATGAATTCAAGTTTTTATTTAATGGCTAACATTCAAGTGCTTACAGGGTGACAGGCACTACATTTACATACAGTATTAACTCACTTAAATCTCATAAGGCATATAGATAATACTTTTTAAGTCAGGAGGGAAAAAATGATGGTGCAGTCTTTTAAAAGAACTTTATTGATGTTTTTCACAAATTAAGAAAAAGCTTATGTACCAGTAAGAAAAAAAAAATCCTTATTTCAAACCACAAGTGAAAAAAACACCACAGAGAATTTGGCACCAGAACTTGGGGAAACTCCAGAGCTCCTGGTGTCCGGTTCTTCTGCACTACAGGCTAATGCAGCGCTCGAAGCTTCCAGAAAGAATACCAACACCAGGCACTGCTGAAGGGACCCCACCCCCACCCCCACCCCAGGGCTGAGGCCTCGCCCGTGCTCACACGTGTACACACCAGGGCCCACGAAATGGAAACCTCCCCTTTCGGAGCAACAAAGACTAACGTTAAATAGGGTAGATGATACTACTTTTTGAAACAAGATCACTAGTACCGAAGCAAAGCACAACACAAGTGTCCTAATTCAAGAACAATCATTCTTTTTATACTTCAGATGGCTTCAAATGTTCAACAATGTTTTCAAGGCTTTTTTACATAAGCTAACAGACAGTTTTTCTTTTTTATGAGAGAAAGGTACGGACAGTGCCCTTGATTATACCCCTGCAAATAGGGCACTTTCGGAGCGAAGGGGCGCAGTCTTTGCACACCACCAGGTGACCGCAGGGGATGAACACGACAGACACTTCTCGGTCCATGCACACTTTACAGGTTCGTTCCTCCTGCAGCCTCCGCAGCTGCTCCTCCAGAGACAGACCTAAGATGAACAGAACACTTCAGTGAAATTCAGTTTCTACTTTACCCCCGGCTACGAATTTTAAAAATGGTAATATTTCACACTGGTCTTAAGTCTTAGTTTTGTTTTACCTGAAACATCCTCTGTTGGAATATACTTCATGCTCTTGTCCACTGAGGAAAGAACGACAAAATGCATTATTCCCCCACACGGAAGGCCGCTGCCCCCACTCGCTCCTCCCCACCTGCTGTCTGCTGAGCACAGGTTCTGCCCACGGGCTATGAGGCAGTACGCAGCCCTACTACGGAGGCAATGAAGCCTTCCTTTCCTTAGAGCTAGCTAAATATACAGGCTACGGTTTGTGAATTCAATTTATCTGGTTTGTCAACCATAAAAATGAACATAATCTCAGAGATTTCTAAAGTAATTTTACCAAAAACTCACCAAATAAGTTCTTATATAATGTAGGGTCAATTTCTTTTAAACAGGTTTTGAAAATGTTGGCAGCAGCATTTCCTTTAACTAAAACGGTATCGATCAGTTCTCTTGCTTGCAAAGGTATCTGTGTTTTTTGCTTAATAATATCATGTTCCTGTTTATTAATCACATTGGCCTTTAAAAGATTATCCAGGATAGGAAGCACACACGTCAACTGTTGAAAAAGAGCCATTCTATTCTTCCGAATCAATGACAAATCATCTTCATTTAAAAAAGAAAAAAGGGAAAAACATCCATTAGATTTTGAAATGCTCCAGCCATATGCACACAGTCATGAACAACAAGCCTACAAACAATCTAGGCAGCTTGAAAGGGCAGCACAAAATTACTTGTTTGCAATTTAAGGCCTATCATCTAGAAAACTTGCGGAAGATCTGGCTAGGGCACACTGCACAGTACACACAACACACACGGTCTCTGTTTCTGTCACTTCTAGAAGTCGACATACTTACAGATCTTGGGACCCTGCTATCTAAGCAGAGAATTTTAAAGGACAGTAAACTCCCCACCTCTGTACTTCCCACCAGCCAATGAAATTGATAATACTTTTAAAATTTTTTAATATTTTTGAGGGGATGGGGGGGGGAGACAGAATCCAAAGCAGGCTCCAGGCTCTGAGCTGTCAGCACAGAGTGTGACTCAGTCTCAAACCCAAGAACTATGAGATTATAACCTGCGTTGAAGTCGGACACTTAACCACTGAGCCACCCAGGTGTCCCTAATGATACTGACTTCTATTTGCATTACATGACTTTTAATTTTATAACCACTTTCACAGAAATTACCTTATTTGATACAAAGATCCTATCAGTTAAACAAGGCAAGTTTGACAGCTTCTCAATTTCAAATACGGACAAAAACAGCTCAGAAACGAGGGTCTTTATGGTCAGAGAGAAAGCACCGGCAGCACAGCCCGCGCCCTACCACAGTGTTCTCTCCAAGCCCATGACCGCCGGGGAGTCTCCCCTGTGGCGCCAGGGCACACCCGGACCCCCTGCAAGCCGGCCACTCTGGCTATGTGCCCTGAGCCTGGTCACTTCCCTAATCAATCGAATGAATAAAAGATGTCTTCACGCACTTGCAACTTCTCCCTTGGCTCCTAGCACAACCCACGCAGTCGGTACTACTAGTATTACCTCCACTTCAGAGGACACAGCTGAGGTCTGGTTAAAGAACCTGGAGCGAGCTGACTGACAGAGCCCGGACTTCAATACAAATCCGTCCCACTTTAGAAATCAGAGTTGAAACACTTTTCTACACGACCACACAGTCAGGCATCTCAACCACTCCTATGGCTCCTCACACGCTCCAACCCAAATCCCCAACAGACACTACAGATGCAACCTTCCCTCTACTGGCTCAGCTCAGGGCTGCACACTAGACCCCAAGCCCAGTGGGGGAGACCCCAAGCAAGCACCACAGTCAGCACAGTATTTGACACAGGTGCTCATGCTCAGTTAGTATTTCAGAAGGAACGACTGCTCAAGAGGCTTAACATGATCTGGATGGACACCAAGATCAGTCCCCTTAGGCAGGGGCTTCTCACCAAGTCCTAGGACTTCATCACCAGCTCTGTTATCTGTTTAAGGACCACTTAGCAAGGATTAAGGGAGTTAAAACACTTTTAAGAGTACGATTTGAAGAAACATAATCTTAAAAAAAAAAAATACCTGCAATCAACTTTAAAATCTTCCTTTCTCGAAACATTACATATATACAATGTTATATATGAGGAAAAAAGCAATATAGTTCAGTAAGAATGATGCCACTAAGATCCTCTGATTAGCATAAATCTCAGAGTTTATCGAAAGATAAACATATTTTTGAAAGACGCAGTCAAGGATCATCAGCACAGCCCACATTGCAGAAGCAGACGTGCTGCTGGAGACACGCGGCCACCAGCAGGTAGTGGACAGAGGCTGGCTGTCCTGCATCGGGTCACCCCGTCCCAGGTCCCCACAGCAATAAGGCAGGTGACCAACACTTCCCAATACCTGATGCCAGCTCTTCAGTTTGTCTTTCTTTCTCTTCTTCTCTGGTCTCATCTTCGGCATCAAGAAGTGCCAACACAATATCACTGACCGTTTTGTAATTCTCGCCGCTCGTCAGGATCTTACTCTGAACGGTCTGCTTCACCAGGCTCCTACTGAAGCCCATCTCCAAGGCCGCTTTCACCACAGGTGTGTTCATCATGATGGCATCTTCGGAGGAACTTTCTCCAGGCCCAAAATGTACAACTATTTGAAGAGACAGATTACCAACGTTAAATTCCACAAACATAAAAATATGGAGAAAAGAAGTATGTCCCTTACCAGGCACGTAAGGGAGATGAGCTATATGCACCAATGAGCTATAATTCCAACCGAAGTATCAACTCCAGAAGGATCAAGTGAGAGTACGATAAGCTACACTTTTCCAAAACATCACTTCTGGGGCTACGTCCTGGGAGCCTACTTGATGAGCGACTCGCTAAGGACTCAGCTCAGAAATTCATGTCTTTTTTAAATCCTTGAAATGATTCTGAGGCACAGCGGTTTCTGGGAACCAGAACCATACAAACTTAGGTATGGTCCAGGAGAGTGGGGGAAATCAACAAAAGCTTCACTAAAGTGGCGTCAGAGTTTGGACTTGAAGGATCAACAGCATCTAGAGAGGTAAACAGATGACTCACAACAGAGGCAGGAAGGAGAGATGGGAGACCAGTTCATGCCAAATATGTCTGAAGATGTGAAACGTGAGTAAGGAAATGATGAGATGTCAGACAGTGACAGAGGCGTGGAAAACAAGAAAACAAGGAGCAGGATCAACTAGGAGGCAGGCGGAGAACAGAGATTGGGGGGCCAGGAAAGCGTTTTCTGCGAACAGGGTCAACCGCGTGAAAATTATGAAGAAACCTGACAGCCACCTGCTGGAGAGCTGCTCTAACGACAGACCCCCTGTTCAAACATCTTGGAGCCGCTGTCCAGAGAAGGTAACACCACAACACTCGTGTGAACCATAAATAAGGAAGAGCTCCGGGAGGATCTGAAAGAAACCTTCTAGAAAAGAGAACAACAAGCATAAAAGCCCTAATCAAGACAAAATCTCAACATATATAAAAAAGCAGTGACAAGCAGAAACACAGAGATCCCCAGATCAGGTAGAGCCTTGCACATTTATATGTGCACTCTCTATGTGCTAGAACGTTCTACAAACACTTTAAGCAGAGGAATGATAAAACTGGACTTGTTTTTTAAAAAGGCGACTGTGTGATGGATCAACTCTCACGAGGTAGGATGGGATGAGGACGCCGAGCAGACACTGCGACACAACGGCAGGTCTGCATCAGCTGGACGGGCGCGGAGATCGGGGGCACAGCATGCAGGCAGGAGATGGCAAGGCCTCCACAGGTTACACACGTGAAGTAAAGAGAGGAACCAGGATGACGCCTACCTGGAATCAACGTTTTGACCTTAACAGGCAGGGCCAGTAACGAGCTCGGGAAGACCAGGCAAGTGACAACTCTGACAGATGCAGGACAGGAGAATAGGTTTACTTTGATCATGTTAACCCTGAAACACCCACAAGAGTCAAGCAGAGACTCAAGCATGTAGATGGACATGCCAGCCTGAAGCGCACAAAACGAAGACATAAATTTGGGCCAAGTGCTGAGAGATAGTCTATCATTTGTGGTGTGAAAAAGGAGCTACCAAAGGAGACTGTTCACGATTAACCAGAGAAAGAGCAGAAAACCAAGAATGTGGTGTCCAGGAAGCCAAGCAAAGATGTCCTAAGAAGGACACAGGAGAGTCAACTCAGCAAGACTATCGAGTAAGATGCCCCCCCATGTCCCCTGTGTCCTGACTTAACAGTAACCTGGAGTCCACCTGGGAACAGTAGTGCCTTTGTGAAAGCTCCGAGACGCAGGTAGATTATGAAACCCCAGGGGAGGGCAATACCAAGGAGAACTGCTTAACTAGACAGGTGGGCACCCACAGGGCTGACTCACCGAACGTGCCACTGGCTACAGACCCACAAACAGCTCCATTCCCTTCAGGACTTGGCTACAGACCATCTGGCCTGACCCTGCACCAGCACCCCCCAGGGCCTGACCCTGTACCAGCGGCCCCCACGGCCTGACCCTGCACCAGCGGCCCCCCACGGCCTGACCCTGCACCAGCGGCCCCCCAGGGCCTGACCCTGCACCAGCGGCCCCTCACGGCCTGACCCTGCACCAGCACCCCCCAAAACACAGGAGAATGAAGAGGAGCTAGGCCTACCCATGCTTTGACAAAGAGACATACAGACTTGACAGACCTGAGTTCCACATCTATAGACACTGAAATTGCCTGTGAACTGGATTGGCACAGTCTGGGAGCCACCAGAGATAAATCCACCAAATTCAGTCAGAATGTGGAATCTGAAAGGACCTCTTAATGAGGCTCCACCCTATCCCAGCCACAATCCGCAAACAGGCCTGCTGGCACCAGGCCCCAGCTAGAGGCCTCCCCAGTGCAGGCCTGGAGCTTCCAAAGGAGCGCTGTACTTGGCTCCAGCCCCTCTTAGCCTCAGCAAGACAATGGGTACAGGACCCAGTGAGGAACACGCCCATCCGCACAGCAGGAGGTCCTGAAACAGCTTCAGCCTCAGAACACCATCAGGAAGGGGCCCCACCCACCACCGCACCAGGCAGGAGACACACCCACCCATGCCTCCAGAGCCAGGGTGGCAGACTTCAGTCTTGGCTGTAGGACCTGAAACAGCCCTGAGGCTCAGCCCCAACCACCGTCCAAGGCCAGTCCCACCAACCAAGGAATTCATTCCTGACGAGACAGGAGCCCTCCCAAGGACCCAGAGGAAGTCACACCAATCTGCATATCTGGTAATAACCGTGCTGAGTGAGGACCCAACTGTGGTCTGTGAAGCAGACCCTTATCCCAACACCCTACAGAACCACGTCCTAGTACTGGAGGCAGCACTGTCCATGAAGGGAGTGGCCGGATAGGATCCATGCCAACCCCAGCCACTGGAACAAGCCCGGCAGCACACTCCACCGCAGACCCAGCAGCGGCTTTGAAATGGGCTCCAACCAGACATCAGCCAAGGAAACGCACAGGAAAAGGTATTTACCTGCCAAAAACCCAGTCTGTAAAGACTAGAAGAGATGTTTCATCCTTTAAATGCACAGATACCCATGAAATGCTACTCAAAAATGCTACTCATGCAAAACGGGCAACAGGATGACACCAAAACAAACCAACCAACCAACCAACCAACCACCACCCAACAACAACAACCAATAAAGGTCCGGTAACTTTTTTAAAAAATTTAATGTTTTATTTATTTTTCAGAGAGAGAGACAGACAGACACACAGACACACACACACACCATGGGCAGGGGAGGGTCAGAGAGAGAGGGAGACACAAAATCTGAAGACAGGCTCCCAACTCTGAGCTGTCAGCACAGAGCCTGACCCGGGGCTTGAACCCACGAACTGTGACGTCATGACCTGAGCCGAAGTCAGATGGAGGCTGGCTCAACCAACTGAGCCACCCAGGTGCCCCAAAGGTCCAGTAATTTACTCCAAAGAAATGAATAGAGATCTACAATTTGTCTGACAACAAACCAAACATTATCATCTTACCCTCCATGAAATTTAAGAGAACAGAGGTAGGCAACTATATGAAATGATAGTACATTAACAAAATTAAAAGTTTAATAAAGAAACAGAAATTACAAAAAAGAACTAAGCAAATCCTGGGGCTGAAGACAACACTGAAAAATTCAGCACAGGGCTTCAATAACTACCTTGACCACGGAGAAGACAGACCCAGGAAGTGAAGGTAGATTATCTGAAATTAGCCAGTTGTAAGAACAAAACAGTGAGGACAGCCTATGTGAATTATAGGACACCACCCAACAAGTGAACACCCCATCACAAGAGTCCCAGAAGAGAAAAAGCAGAAAATTTATTTAAAGAAATAAGAGCTGAAAAGTCCCAAATCAGAGGAGAGCTGTGGATACTCAGCAACAGTAAAATTCGAGAATCCTAAGCATGATCAACCCAAACATTCCTAAGATACACAATAATCAAAATGTTAAAAGTCAAAGAGGGAATGTGAAAACTGTGTACAAGGGGCGCCCTCAGGCTGCCCGCTGACTCTGGAGAAACCCTGCAGCCAGCTGAGAGGACAGACAGGACACATCAAAGCGTGAAAAAGAGCCACACCAAGGATAATGGCAAAACTATCTTTGAGAAATGAAAAAAGGTAAAAGACCTTCCAGACAAACAAAAGTTGAAGCAGGTATTCACACTAGACCTACCCCACAAGCGATGCCAAAGGGAGCTCGGCAAGCTGAAGGGACACTCAGTAACATGACAACATAGACAAGCACACAACTTCCTGGTGAAGGCAGACAATGCCCTCAAATTCAGAATTCCCTACGCTGTAACCGTTCCTCTGGTATAAAAGTTAAAGAACAGCAATAGCAACAATAACTATAATTAGAGGCACCTTAGTGGCTCAGACAGTTAAGCATCACACTCTTGATCTCAGCTCTGGCCTTGATTTCAGGGTTTTGAGTTCAATCCTACTGGTGGGCTCCATGCTCTGGAGCCTACTTAAATAACTAGATAAATAAATAATACCTCTAGCTAAAATAACTTGTTAACAGATATGTAATGAAAAAAGATATAAAGTATGACATCAATAGTGTAAAATGTAGGGTAAAGATAATAAAAGTTTCAGTTGTTACCAGCTTAAACAGATTACTACATCTACACTGTGTTTTAGATAAAGCCTCATGTGAACGCAAAGATAAAACCTACGACAGATACACAAAATGTAAAGAAAAGGGAATTAAAGCATAACACTACAGAAAATAAATTAAAAAGGACTGCAGGAACAGAGGAAGAAATGAACAAAGGAACTTAAGAAAATCGTAAGACTAAGTCTTTATCTTGCTAGTAATGACTTTAAAGTGTAAATGGACTAACTTCTCTAATTAAAAGACGCTGAATGGTTGAATATATTTTAAAAAACAAAAACAAAAAAGAATGCGAAGAGAGGATACGCTAAATCCACAGTGGGCAGAAAGAAGAAAATATTAAAGATCAGAACAGAAATAAATGACAAAGAAACTGTAAAGACCATAGGAAAAAAAAGTGACAGTAACAGGTGGTTTTTTGAAAAGAAAAACAACAACGTGACAAACCTCTAGCTAGACTGAGAAAAAAGAGGACGCATACAAAATTAC